TCCCACACTCCCAGTGCCACGGGCAGCGTGCACGCTGGTCGGAGCCCCCGGCATCTGTGTCTGAGCCTCGGATGGCAGAACTGGTTGTACCGGATCTCATGCCAGCCTCACCCCAGGCACAGGCTCCCACAGGGTCTGTATCCCTCGTTCCCGGAGAACGGAGAACGCTGTCTCAGGAGAGCCCTGGCCTGGGACCCCTGAGAGGTTCCGGAAGCTTGGGAACCACGGGGAGGGAGGGAGAGAGGCCTTCCGGTGCCAGGGGAGCTGGGCTGGAGGGAGTCCCCCAAGAACTGGCTCTGGCTCTGGCAGTACCCACGGTAAGAGGATGCTGGAAGGAGCCTCAGCCACCAGGTGGAGCCCTTGCACTTTGCTGGAGGGAGTGGGCTACGGAGGGGCGCTGCTGGCTGTCCCAGGGGAAACGGCCCTATCCTGCCAAGTAGAGGATGACCCTGGGCAGCGACTTGGCCTTCCCCTGCCTCAGTTTCCTCACTGTGAAGGGAAGAGCGCCCCCTTGGGGCCACACCGGCCTCTCACTTCCACTGTGGCCTTTGTGTGGACTGGGATGCATCCAGTAGACCCCCACCTCCCGGGTGCCAGTCTCGCTCTGGACACTGAAGTGGCATGGCAACAGGCCGGGAAGAGGGCTCTGAGTCCGCTCTGCCCGGCAGCCCGCCTGAGCTCCCAGGAGGGCCTGGTGCCTCCTCTGTGCGCCCACCTCTTCTTCCCATCTTCCTGGTGCCCCACCCGTTACTCCGTGTGCTCCGGGGCAGGGTGGGCAGCTTCCTCTCCCAGTCCCCACTGGGTTAGCAAACAGCGGGCGCTCACTATGTGCCCGATGAGCTAATGCTAAACAGGACTTTCCCGCAGGCCAGGAAGGGCTGCCTGGTCACCACAGTGTGGTGGCCTCCAAGGCAGGGGCCAGCCCCGGGCTTGGACCTGTGGCCCCAGGTTTGGACAGCCTGGTGGAGGGGCTCTGAGGCTGTCTGGAGCCCAGCGCCGGCCCTCCTGCTCCACTCACAGGGACCCCCTGGAAGGCAGCTGACCAATGATTAGTCAGCTAATCTGCCCTGGCCTGGCATGTGGGCACAGCTTGACTTGTATCCCAGGAAGGGCTACTGGCCAGGAAAATCGCAGGTTTGCGTGTGGAGGGGTCCCTGGCTGCCGGTGGAGGGCGCTGGGTCGGGCTGGCCCCAGCGGGCAGCAGCAGGTCCCAGCAGGAGGATGCCTTGCTCGTAGGAATGTTTAGGATGGTCCATCAGACACAGGTTTGCACTCAGGTGAGCAGTGATGCACGGGGAATGCCTGTGGGGCTGAGGGACAGGCAGGCCTTGTGCCATCCCATGCCCCAATTCCTAGGACGTAGGGGTACCAGGCAGAGGCCCTGACCACAAGCTGAGCCAGTCCGGTGGGGCCCCTTGTCCTACCTGCCTGAAAGGAACAGGGCACCTGGTCTGTGAGAACGCCCTCTGCACCCCGCCCTGGCTCACGTGGGGTCGGGGCTCACGTGGGGTCAGGGTTCACGTGGGGTCGGGGTTCACGTGGGGTCGGGGCTCACGTGGGGTCGGGGCTCACGTGGGGTCGGGGTTCACGTGGGGTCGGGGCTCACGTGGGTTCGGGGCTCACGTGGGTTCGGGGCTCACGTGGGGTCGGGGCTCACGTGGGGTCGGGGCTCACGTGGGGTCGGGGTTCACGTGGGGTCGGGGTTCACGTGGGGTCAGAGCTCACGTGGGGTCGGGGCTCACGTGGGGTCAGGGTTCACGTGGGGTCAGGGTTCACGTGGGGCCGGGGTTCACGTGGGGGGGGGGCTCACGTGGGGTCGGGGTTCACGTGGGGTCGGGGTTCACGTGGGGTCAGGGTTCACGTGGGGTCGGGGCTCACGTGGGGTCAGGGCTCACGTGGAGTCAGGGTTCACGTGGGGTCGGGGCTCACGTGGGGTCAGGGTTCACATGGGGTCGGGGTTCACGTGGGGTCGGGGCTCACGTGGGGTCGGGGCTCGCGTGGGGTCAGGGTTCACGTGGGGTCGGGGCTCACGTGGGGTCAGGGTTCACATGGGGTCGGGGTTCACGTGGGGTCGGGGTTCACGTGGGGTCAGAGCTCACGTGGGTTCGGGGCTCACGTGGGTTCGGGGCTCACGTGGGGTCGGGGCTCACGTGGGGTCGGGGTTCACGTGGGGTCGGGGTTCACGTGGGGTCAGAGCTCACGTGGGTTCGGGGCTCACGTGGGTTCGGGGCTCACGTGGGTTCGGGGTTCATGTGGAGTCAGAGCTCACGTGGGGTCAGAGCTCACGTGGGGTCGGGGCTCACGTGGGGTCGGGGTTCACGTGGGTTCGGGGCTCACGTGGGGTCAGGGTTCACGTGGGTTCGGGGCTCACGTGGGGTCAGAGCTCACGTGGGGTCAGGGTTCACGTGGGGTTGGGGCTCATGTGGGGTCGGGGCTCACGTGGGGTCAGGGTTCACGTGGGTTCGGGGCTCACGTGGGGTCAGAGCTCACGTGGGGTCAGGGTTCACGTGGGGTTGGGGCTCATGTGGGGTCGGGGCTCACGTGGGGTCAGAGCTCACGTGGGGTCAGGGCTCACGTGGGGTCAGGGTTCACGTGGGGTCAGGGTTCACGTGGGGCCGGGGTTCACGTGGGGTTGGGGCTCACGTGGGGTCGGGGTTCACGTGGGGTCGGGGTTCACGTGGGGTCAGGGTTCACGTGGGGTCGGGGCTCACGTGGGGTCAGGGCTCACGTGGAGTCAGGGTTCACGTGGGGTCGGGGCTCACGTGGGGTCAGGGTTCACATGGGGTCGGGGTTCACGTGGGGTCGGGGCTCACGTGGGGTCGGGGCTCGCGTGGGGTCAGGGTTCACATGGGGTCGGGGTTCACGTGGGGTCGGGGCTCACGTGGGGTCGGGGCTCACGTGGGGTCAGGGTTCACGTGGGGTCGGGGCTCACGTGGGGTCAGGCTCCAGCTCCAGGTGAAACTCAGCAGCGAGGGGAGCCCGCCCTTCACAGAGCTGCCTGTGGGGAGCAACGCCAGCGGGCCTGGAGCTCAGGACACAGGATGACCAGGGCGGCCGGGAACACCGCCTTCCCGGCCAGGCCAGTGCGAACGCAGCACCTGCCGTCCCCGGTGCAGACGGCTCAGGTGCGCGGGGGAGGGAGAAGCAGGGGGCGCGGGCTGCTCACAGCTCGGCTCCGTCAGCGGAGGCCGGAGAGGGGGAGGGCCCCGGGCCCGTGGGCCAGCCAGTGGGGACAGACGGGCCGAGGACGGGCGAGGATGGCGTGGAAGTTCTGACCGCTTCTCCCCACCTGTGTCCTCTCCATCCTGGCTCTCACATCATCTCAATCCATCTGGGAGTTCCTCTCCTGGTCTCCATCCTGGGCCTCCTGAAACCCCTTTGTGGAGGAGGGAGATCTTAAATGAGAGGAACTGTTACCAGGCCTGGCTCAGGGGGCCTCTGCGAGGGGGACCAGGGTCAGACGGAATCCGTCTCGCCCTCGGGCTTCTGGGTAGAGCAGGCGTGGCCGCCCCTCCCCCGCCCCCAGGTCCATGACGGATGCTATTCCGTTTCCCCGTGTCACAGTGAGGCAGCCGAGCTCCAGCACACGCCACGCTTGCTCTGGGCGGGGAGCGGCAGCTGCAGGCCCGGCCTGGGTGCCCAGCCTTGGGTGCCGCCCGTCCGCTCTCGCCGCCTCGGGCAGAGAAAGGCCCGCCCGCTCACACGTGACGGCGACCGAGCCGTGCGGTCCGAGCGCGCGCTCGCCCTGGGAGCCTGCGTGCGGAGGGCCTGGTGCCTTCACCCTCCTGGCGTTGTCCAAGGGTCAACTCCGGTTAGAGAGCCGGGCTTACCGGCTGCGGCCCCAGGGGTGGGTTGTCCCCTCGGTGCCGCAGTGGACATGTCTTTAAAATGGGAGGGAAGCCCTAGCCAGTTTGGCTCAATGGATAGAGCGTTGGCCTGTGGACTGAGGGATTATGGCACATGTGTCAAACACAAGGCCCGCGGGCCAAATCCGTCCCGCCAGGCCTTGCAATGTGGCCCGCACCGCGCTGTCATCACTGCACTCCGCTGCGTTTCCATCACAATGACAGTTTATGACTGTTCAGTAAACCATTCGGCCCGCGATTTAGGCTGGATTTTAGATTTTGGCCCCTTCTCTGATTGAGTTCGACACCCCTAGATTACGGGTTCGATTCCAGTCAAGGGCATACGCCCGGGTTTCAGGCTCAATCCCCAGTAGGGGGTGTGTAAGCAGCAGCCAATCAATGATTCTCTCACCATTGAGGTTTCTCTCTCTCTCTCTTCCTCTCTGAAATCAATAAAAATAATTTTTTAAAAAATAGAACGGGGAGGGAAGCTGATCTCCCGGGCTCGGGGAGTGCAGTGCATTCCCTGCGTTAAGCAGGACGGCAGCCAGTGCACAAGGACACCGTGCGGCTCTGAGGGCCACTGGGGTTGGGAAGGAGGAGCCAGGAACCCGGGCAATTGTCCTGCCGAGGGGAGCAGGCCTGCACTCTCTGGGGCCCGGGGCTCCCAGGATCCAGGTGACCCGGGTCGAGGTGCTAATGACCACCTGAGGGGAGTGGGCACAGTGCAGGGCCACTGCGCCTGGGGGCTCAGCAGTCCCGGCTGACCTGGCTACAGCGTGTGGCTCAGGGGCGGGCCACACGGTGGTGCACTTTCATGCCCAAATCAAACTCCACCCGGCTCACCGCCTGATGGTCCAGGGGGAGAGGGATTAAAAGGGCAGACTCCACATGGCACCAGAGACCCCTCCGCTGAGTGTGGGCGGGACTGGGCACAAGAGCGAAGCCCAAGGAAGCGGCCTGGGCACAGCAGAGTCCGGGGCCTCCTGTACCTGCGAAGCTCCCCTTGGCGAGTGGGCGGGCCACATCAATGGGGAGACACCATCTGAATGAGAAGCTGATTACCAGCACTCCCTTCCCGCCCCATCCCGCCTCATGTCACCACCCCAATCACTGCCTGTTCCATCGACAGGATCGATCATTTACAAAAATAAATATGAAAAGAAAGCAGCAGCCTTTTAGTGACGTGACCGTAAGTGAATGTGTTTGAACGTCTGGCGGATCTCCTGAATTGCACCAAAGGGTTTGGAAGCACTTGGTTTGGTCTCAGAGGGAACAGGGAAGGAGGGGAGGGCCCAGCCCCCGAGGGTCCAGCTGGAGCCGAAGGCCGGCCTCGGCCGCTCACATTTCCGAGTCCGCGTACATCCCGTTGATCAGGTAGTCCACCTGCGTGTAGTCCTTCTTCTTGTAGTTCTCGTAGGCCTGCAGCGCAAACTGGACCATGACTGCAAAGAGCAGGGCCACCCCCAGCAGGAGCATGGCCAGCAGCGCCCCTCTGTTCACCGGGGACAGGGGCAGGACCCTGGTGGTGACCGCCACGTACTGGCCCTGGGTGCTGAGCTGGCACGAGTCCGTGGTTGGCACCTTAGGGTCCCCTGAGCTCCCGGGGGTGGGCCCGGTGGAAGCAGTGCCCCCTGTGGCCTCAGGCCGCACCTGCTCCGGTGTGGAGGGCGTGGTGGCCCCCGTGGGCCCCCATGTGGATGAAACAGTGCTTGGCAGTGTTGTGGGGGACGTGGCCTCCACCCCAGGTGTGGGGCTGGCATGCGGCACAGGAGCTGGCACCGTGCTGGCAGCTGGCCCCTCGGTGGTCACCGCAGTGGTGGACATGGAAGCCATGGAAGGGGTGGGCTCTGGGGTTGTGTTCTCCAGGGGCGGGGTGGGGCTACTTGCTGTGTCTGCCACGGGTCGGGCAGTCGACGGCTGGGTGGTGGGACCTTGTGTGGATGTGTTAAGTGAGTGGGGACTGGTGGGGAGCGCGTGGGGACTGGTGGGGCTGGCTGTGCGGAGCTCTGGGCTGGCTGTGGGGAGCGTGGGGCTGGCTGTGGGGAGCACGGGGCTGGCTGTGGGGAGTGTGGGGCCGGCGGTGGGGAGCGTGGGACTGGCTGTGGGGAGCACGGAGCTGGCTGTGGGGAGCACGGAGCTGGCTGTGGGGAGCGTGGGGCCGGCGGTGGGGCCGGTTGCGGAGTGGCGGGGGGTGTGCTCAGTGGGTCTCTGTGAGCCCCGGGCGCCGCCTGCACTTGTTGTGGAGGCGGCAGCAGTCTGCGTGCTGGTGGCCAGCGTGGTCCGAGGCGCTGCGGTTGGCAATGTACCGTTGCTGGGTGCCTGGGTGTGGGGCGTGCTGGGAGCGGCCGTGGACGCCGGGGGTGGCCGTGTGGACGTCGGCGTGGGCACCCTGGAGTCCGTGAGGTTGGCGGGACCCGCGGCAGCTGCTGAGGTGCCCACATTGGTCCCGGGGGTCCTCCCTGCTGTGGCTGCAGGGGAGCTGTGGTTGGCTCCCGAAGTCTCTCTGGCCGCCGTGACAGGAGAGGGCGTCGTCATGGCCTCGGAGGTTTTGTTCAAGATGCTGCCAGTCGTTTCCCTGGATGTGTTTTTTGTGACCAAGTCAGCCTGCGTCTGGTTGAAGGCCACGGGCACTTCAGGTCAGAAAGGAGAGAGAAAGGCACGGTCAGGGGCGGCTGGCGGCCTCGCTGGCCTGTGTCCTGGGCCCAGAGAGACCGGGGAGGAGTGTGCACAGCTCCCCCAGCACCTCGCTGCCACACCTGGCCCGCGGCCCACCCCAGGGGCAGCTGGCACGTTGGTCTTAAAACTGCTCTGCAGTCCTAACCGGTTTGGCTCAGTGGATAGAGCATCGGCCTGCGGACTGAAAGGTCCCAGGTTCGATTCCGGTCAAGCGCATGTACCTTGGTTGCGGGCACATCCCTGGTAGGGGGTGTGCAGGAAACAGCTGATTGATGTTCCTCTCTCATCGATGTTTCTAACTCTATCCCTCTCCCTTCCTCTCTGTAAAAATCAATAAAATATTTTTAAAAACCCAACAACAACAAAAAAACCTGCTCTGCCCTCTCTGAACCCCAAGCCCATGGAAGATTTAAGAGCTGCACTCTTGGATCCAATCCCCAAAACAGCAGACAGGGAGCGTCTCCCGGCACTGGTGTGACTCCTCATTGAACTCTCAAACAACGTGGCTTACAGAGCAGATAACCCGCCGCCCGGGTATTCCCACCAGGGACCTCTTGGCTTCCTGAAGGCTCTGCAGCTGGATGCCGGGGGGCGGGGGGAGGGCTGTCAGAGCGGCAGCAACCAAGTGTCTGAGGTCTGAGTGGACAAACTCTCAGCAAAGCCAGGCTTGAAGTAAGGAGGTTTGGCAGGGTCAAGCCAGAGACCGGCTCAGGGCGCCGAGGCCCGGCCCCCCGGGGGCTCCTCCCCTCGCAGGGCCTGGAGAAGCTCCGTCCAACAGTCTCGCCCAGCCTGGCCCCGTGGAGCTGGGGCTCCCCGCTCTCCGCCGGGGCGCGCAGACACCCCTCGGGCTCAGGGTGCGCTGGGCCTGGGCAGCAATCTCCCAGCGTCCTCACCCACCTGGACCCCGGGGTGCCACCCGGCTCTCGGAGAAGGACAGGGAGGAAATGCAGGCGAGCACCAGGGCTGTCCACATCTTGTGGGCGAGCCGGGAGCAGGGCTGGCGTCCGGAGGCTCCCAGCCTGCTCTCAGGCTGCTAGCGATGCCGGCGACGTGGCCGAGGGATCTGCGATCGAGAGAAAGGCGTCCGGTCAGTAACGCGCAGCCTGGCCTGGGTACAGTGCTGCGCCGTGTGCAGGGCTCTGCCTCGGTCTGGCGTGCCAACAAGCCACGTGCCTGGACCAGGCTGGCACCCAGGAAGAGCACGCCGCGTCTCCGCCACGGTGGTTAGTGATCTCACCAGGGCCCCTGTGTGATGGCTTAAAGCACTTCCTGTCCCCGTTCCCTAGGCCTTCGGTCTCCCCACGGGGCCCTCACCGTGCGGGTCCTGAGTTCCATGGAGCCGAGTCCCAGGAGGGAGCCGAGGGCACGGAATGAGCATCCCGACGGCCCTGCAGCCAGGCCGCTCAGTGACAGCAAGGCGATGTCCCCCCCATCGGCACAAATGAATCCCCGCTGCCCTGGTCCACTTCCCCGCCCCCAGCCCACAGCTGCCCCAAAGATCCTGGCAACCCACAAAGTGGACCCTGCCTCCATGGCTCAAATCCCTCCCTCCCCAGACGACACCTAAGCTCCTTAACACGGCCCAGGCGGCCTCCAAAGTCTGGCCCCACTGGCCTCTCCGCTACCCTCGCCACCGTCCCGGGCACAGGACTACCTGCTGTGCCCCGTGCAGAGCCTGGCTCGGCCGGCAGCCCACAGGCAGCCCGAGCAGCACAGAGGGATGTTTGTGGGGCCGCCACGTGGTGGCTTTCTGCCCGCTGTGATCGGTGGGGACTGTCGTAGGCTGGTCCCAGGACCGCAAACCCCATCTGAGCACAAACTCTCGTGGAAACCGGCACATCCCCTAGTGCTCCTGACCCCTCCCCGCGACTCGCTGACTTCCTCTCACTCATCCTGCACTTGCCCTCCAGAATCGTCTGCGAGGGCTCCTGGCTCACAGGTTGGAAGGTTCCTCGGCCCTCCGACCCGCAGGTCCGCAACTATCTTCTGGAGAGCAAGGGCATGCTTTGTTTGGACAGAACAGTGGGGGCGGGGAGAGGAGAGAAGAAACAGACGCTGCCATGAGAGGGAAGAATCGGAGTGAAGGTCCTGGGCAGGAAGAACTCGCTCATCCACCCCCCATCCGCCGAGGCCGTGCAGCTGGGCTCTCGGTAAATGAGTGCCTTTAGACGGCTCTCCCCGGCCAGTCACATCTGGGCACGCGTGGCCCTGCGCCTGAGCCCGGGGCTGGGTGCCCTGGGGTGGGATGAGGTGCCAGGGCTTCCTGGATGCACCCCAGGCCTCAGGCTCGATGTGCCCTCGCTACAAACCTCTAGAGCAGAGCTGGCAAACAGCTCCTGTGACGAGCTGGACAGCAAATGTTTGAGGCTCTGCGGGCCTCGGGGCCGCGGAGGATCTGTGCCCGATGGGCGCGGCCGGGCCCCACTAAAACGTTGTTTGCAGAGCCAGGTGGCAGGCAGCCCGATCGCGCAGTGAACGTCGGGTTCTTAGGTGCAGGGAGAGGCTGGTCGATGTGCCGAACGGATTTCCTCCTCCCCGCCTTGCCCTGGGCCAGGCGGGGACCGTCTCCCTCCTGTCCTGGGATGGTGTCCTCCCAGAGCCGCTCCTGCCATGAGGCCCCCCCCCCCCCCCTCACCGCGGCTCAGCCAGGCGCTGTGCACGGGAGCTCCCACACCGTTACGGCACGGCGACACAAGCCCAGAACCTTTTGTGGAGACTGGCGTTCGTGTCCCAGAAACAGACGAAGGCCGCAGGCGACCACACGGCGCCCACCTGTCCCCGCCTCTGGACCACCCTCCTGGAGGATCTCAGAAGGCAGAACCTCACAGGGCAGAACCTCTGGCGTGAAGAGCCACAGTCCGGGCCCCTCCTGGATCCTGGGAGGCTCGGGCCGCTGGGCCTGCCTGTCTTTCCTTCCCCTGGAGGCTCCCTGAGCTTGCACAGTCCCCTCCGAGCTCCCTGTGCGTCCCCAGCAGGGAACCCGGCCCTCGGACACTCACCAGGGGCGGGCGCTCAGGGCCATCGTCCCGCTCGGAGGGCTGCAGGCTGGCGCGGCGTGCTGGCCAGGCGCGGTCCGGATCTGCAGGCGAGCGCAGCTGCGGGGGGCGCTCCTGGGCCGCGGCATGCTTTGCGGAACGGGCGGGACACGGGCCGAGGCTCCAGCCTGGTAACTGTCGCATCTAGGGTTTGGAGAAGAGAAAATACTTCTTAGGAAATGCAGGAGGAGAACAGTCGGTGAGGAGGGAGGCACCCAATGGGCAGCATTCGGCAAGTCAGCTGGGAAAAGGAGACTGTGTATCAAAACTTTCCCTGGCACGGCTTGGGGGCAGCACTGTCTCCTGCCCGAACTCCTTCTCAGGAAGCGACTGGACAGGTGTACAACGGGGAGATCGTGAAGATGTTCATCGCGGCGCTATTTATAATGGTAAAAAATCAGAATGGTTACGTAAAACACGGCCCCATCCACATATAAAATGCTATGGCAGCCATTAAAACACACACAAATGTCTACTTATTGCCATGGGAAGGTGCCCAGCATGGAACGTGAAGTGAAACAAGCAGGTCACACACAGAACACACACCACGATCCTGTTTTTGTCTAAGCAGGAATAGTCAAGTGGTCTGGGAAGATTTATACCAGAAAGTTCATAATGGTTATCCCTAGGGAACAGATTTACAGGTGATTTTCATTTTATACTCAGATTTTATTTATTTATTTTTTTAACAAGCTTGTATCACTTCTGGGAAACACTCTGAAAGGCTCCAGTGAAAGAAAGCAATGTCTGGCCCTAGCTGGTTTGGCTCAATAGACAGAGCGTCCGCCTGCGGAGGACTGAAGGGTACAGGCCTGGGGGCGTGCAGGAGGCAGTTAATCAATGATTCTTTTATCATTGATGTTTCTCTCTCCCTCTCCCTTCCTCTCTAAGATCAATTATATATATACATATATATATATGTATATATGTGTATATATATGTATATGTGTGTGTATATATATATATATATATATATATGCGGCCTACAGATTGCTATATATATAATGTCTGATTTCCTTCAAGTACTTTGAGCTTCCAGGCCCATCTGATATAGTTTCCACGGGGACACAGCCTTGGACCACAGGACAATGTCTATCTACACAAAACCACACGCCTGTGTCCGTTGGGTTCTGTTGTCAAAGTTCAGCCAGATGGCATGTCAAGATAGGTGTCCTCGGTCTGCCCTGTGTCTGCTCTCACAGCCCCTACTCCTTGGTACGTATAGTTTTTCCAGCTTAGAGTAGGGACTGGGGTCCCTCGGATTTTATAATTTAGAGAAACTTTATCATTTACATGACAGGAGATGAATATTTTTTTATAAGAGCCAACCAAAACGTTAGAGGAACCCAGGGATACGACAGCAATGCAAAGATACTGATCAGCACAAATGACCCTCCCATCGCCGAGTAGTTCACGCAAGCTCGGGACATGAACTCATCACCTCCTACCGTGGCTGCCATTAGCAGGTGGGGATGCCTGAGGACCATCGTGGGCCCACTCCCTCACACAAATGCCCACCTATGTGCACACACACATACATGCATAGGCACACACATGTGAGCACGCAGTCACTCATGCGTGCACATAGCTGCTTGCATATCCATTCACACACAGCTACACAAACGTGCACACTGCCACAGGCATACATATGCAGTCATACCCATGCATGTGTACAATCACTCACACAATTAACACACACAAGGCCAGTGCACACACGGAGCATGCCTGTCAGGCTCTATCAGGCAATTCCACAAGATTCTCCGTAACTTCTGCCGGGCACCATCGCTGCCCCTCCCTCCCAGCCGGTGGGACTGCGGGTCCCTCCCTCAGAACCGGGAACTGGCCGCGGCGCAGAGTCCAGAACAGGCCCTTGTTGTGCCGTGACTTCATCCCTCTGGTATGGTCCTGCCTCCGCTTTCCAGCAGCCTACTCGCAGTGTCAGGATTAGTTTGTGGGGTCCTGCGCTAATCTGACTCAGAGTAGACAAGCCATTCATAAGATTGAAAACAGCAGTTTCCCCTGCAAAGGCTTCCGTGAACCTTAAAAGAGGGTCAGGCCGGTTATTCTCACTTACAGATCAAGCTCTCAGACTCCGTAAAGAGACCCCTGGGCAAGAGGGACATAAGCAAGAAGGAATGACATTAGGATTGAGGGGGAGGGAGACCAGGGCAGACAGAAAGACAGGTGAGGCTGGAGCTGGGAGTTCCCCCCTTTCAGGGGTCAGCTCCCACAAGTTCCGCAGAGAAGGGGCAGTACCCCCACGAGCCAGGTGTCACTCCATCCAAAAGGCAGCCCCATGCCTGGCCGGCCTGGCTCAGTGGTTGAACACTGACCTAGGAACCAGGAGGTCACAGTCAGACTCCCAGTCAGGGAACATGCCTGAGTTGCGGACTTGATTCCTAGTTGGGGGCATGTAGGAGGCAGCCCATCAGTGATTTTTCTCTTTCTCCCTTCCTCTTGAAAACCAATAAACACAGTTTTATTTTGTTTTTAAAAACAGAGCCCCAGACGGCTCTTTTTTTAAAAATATATTTTATTGATTTTTTATAGAGAGGAGGAGCGAGGGATAGAGAGCTAGAAACGTTGATGAGAGAGAAACATCGACCAGCTGGCTCTTGCACACCCCCTACCAGGGATGTGCCCGCAACCAATGTACATGCCCTTGACCGGAATCGAACCTGGGATCTTTCAGTCAGCAGACCGACGCTCTACCACTGAGCCAAACCGGCTTCGGCCCCAGATGGCTCTTGATGCCAATTTCCTGATCCTGTTCTGGCCCTTGACCTTGTGACACCTCTCAACACCTCCTGTCTCCGATGACCTGTGCTCCCAACCTCGGCTTGGTTTTAACTCTTTCACGAACCTATTTGTTAGACGCAGGGTGCTGTGCGCAAGTCATGTGAAATCGGACCGCAACACGCTCGATCCCTTCTTCTGGCTTACACAGGCTCCTAAGACCCAACACAGCGATCCTCAGGCGTGGTAAGGGTCTACACCTGTTACCTCACATTCCATGGCTCTGGCAATACTGACCGAGCAGCAGTGACATGACCCCAGTCCCCACTCCAAGCTGGGAAAACTACACAGACCAAGGAGTAGGGGCTGTGAGAGCAAACACAGAGCAGCCCTATCTTTTTTTTTTTTTTTTTTTTAATATTTATTTATTTATTTATTTATTTATTTATATTGATTTTTTACAGAGAGGAAGAGAGAGTTAGAAACATCGATGGGAGAGAATCATCGATCAGCTGCCTCCCGCACACCCCCTACTGGGGATTTGCCCACCACCAAGGCACATGCCCTTAACCGGAATCGAACCCGGGACCCTTCAGTCCACAGACCGACGCTCTATCCACTGAGCCACAGGGCAGCCCTATCTTGACACGCCACCTGGCTGGACTTTGATAACAGAACCCAACGGACACAGGCGGGTGGTGGTGTGTGTGTAGACATTGTCCTGTGGTCCAGAGGCTGTGTCCCCGTGGCACACGGGGAGCCGGAGCAGTGGATATTGTCTTAATGACCTCGATTGCTTCCGGGTTTCTGGAAGTTTTGATATCACAATGAAATGCTGATCAGCAGCCTAGTTTTTGTTCCCAAGGTGCCTGCGTGGCACGTTTGGCACATAAGCAGAAGAATCGGTATTTTAAGTACTTTCCTTGCCGATTTATTGAAATTTTAGAGATGTTTCCTTTGGGGAGAAAACAGTACATTATAGGCAGAACTGTAAGTGCCACATCTATGTTTGATGGCAGACGTGGTGGATGCTGACTCCTCACTTCAGCCTAACAGTTAAATGCACACACTTTAAGCAGCCACCAGCCCCACACGGAGGAGGGAGGTAAGTAGATGGAAAAGTACAACCCCTCCCAGGTAGAACACTCCCCGGGCCCATCCTGGCCCTCGGAGGACCTTTCCGTGCCCCGCCTACACGGGAGTGTCCCAACGTTCCCGTCTGCTGCTCCCCAACTGAACAGCCTGGGCCTCTTCTCTGGTTTGGGATCCCCTGCCTCCCGCCTCTCTGCGGGGCCCCCATCCATGCTCCTTCTGGAGTCTCAGCTCCCAACCGATTCCTTCTGTTCCTTCCTCTCCCCCCATTCCCTGTCAGTGTGGCGGAAAAGGGGACCCCCATACTGAAACTGACAAGCTCAGGGGAGGCCAGCACCTGCAGGCCCCACAAACTCAGAAACTGAAAGTAACCACACAGGATGGTCTGAACATAAAAATCCCCAACCAGAAGTGGGTTATGGCGGCGGCATGTGCCAGGCCTGTAGTTTCCTTGACCCGTTGCTTTAAGTGAGCCGGTCTACTCTTTTTACATCCAAGCTACACACCTACAGAGTGTGTCCGTGCCATTTCCTTTCCCAGACAGCTCTGGGCACACCCGCCCGCCAGAACACAGAACCGTCCTTGTGATCTTGCTGCCCGAACACGGTCTGTGTGAATGGTAACTGGCTAGCCTGCGCCCACCGGTGTACAAGTACGTCTGTGTCTGTCCCGTGTTCTTTTCCTCCGGTCCCAGACGTTCCCCCGCTTTGCTTTCTCCTGCCCCCTTCACCTGCCCCCGATGAATTCCATGTGACCCTCCTCAAGTCTCCTCCTTTCAGCTGCAAACTGCCCTCCTCCAGAGCATGTTCTCAACTCCGGGGGATTTTGCTTCCCAGCAATTGTCATCAGTTTGGCTCGTGTAAACTCAGAAAATCCCTTATAGGTTTGGACGTTTCTTAGTGGACACCTCCCATCCTCATCCCCTGGCACCCGGTGCCCCCACTCACGTTTTCTCTTCCTGCCCTGCTCTGCCTCTCGTGCCCCATTCATTCTCCAGCCCCTCACCGCCCTCCCTCCGCCCCAAGCCCCCGTCCCGGCGGCCGCGGCCACAGCATCCCGACGGCAGCGCAGGCCTCTTACCCGGGCGCGGCGGGCCTGCGGCGGCCGGGCGGCCCTCGGACGGCGCGCGGCGCCCGCGGTCCCGGTCCGGCGTGCGGACGTGGCGGGCAGTGGAGCAGAACCACCCGGAGCCAGAGCGCTCCCGACGGCCGCCCGGGCCCGCCCCGCCCGCCCGCCCGGAAGTGACGTCACCAAGAGGCGTGCCCTGGTAGGCGTGGCCGCCTGGACGGGCACTGGGATCCGCTAGGTGGTGCCTGGCGCCGCGAAGTGCGAGCCAAGAAAGGGGCGTGGTTTCCACATGCCACGCCCACCATCTTTCCCTCTGGCCGGAAGTCTCTGCTCCAGACTGGTCTTTGGCGGAAGTGGTTGGTGCGGGACTCTGCCCGCTTGGATGTGAGCACTTCGCTGCAGCCATCGGCGTGCAGGTCCCGGGGCAGAGGCAGATCAGATGCACCCCAATGGTTTACAGAGAGCCGAGGGGGTGACCCTGCCATAGTCCTGCCCTCCTCTTGCAAACTTGATCCAAACCCTGGGTGCCTGCGTTGGGGAGGGAAGGTTCTTGCCAAGCCTTGTGCTTGGTTCAGTGACTTTCCTGCAGGTTCTGCGTTTTAATCGCTGCTGTGGCACTGTGAGCTACTTCACTCCATTTTACAGGCACTGAAGCTGGGGTGACAATGGGGAAGTGGAGTGTAGGGTTATGCTTATGTCAAAGGTATGCTAGCCTAGATGCACAGGAACAATGGACAGCCTGCTTAAGCCAAAGATAAGCCGTTTGCTAAAGAAGTTGTATGCCTGGGGTGTGACTGTGGACCTGCCCAGTTCGAAATTCATGATCAGGTCTCACCCAGTGAAGTTACTTTCCATAGAAGCTCGTCTTCCTGCACTCATGGGAGTACTCCAAAGGCTTTATTTTCAGACAGTTTTATAACCTGTCTGGTGTTCCTGCACTAGGAGACTAAACCTGGAAGAAAATTAAGATGTACAAAGACAGGATGAGCCCTAACCTGTTTGGCTCAGTGGATGGAGTGTCAGCCTGCGGACTGACGGTCCCAGGTTCAATTCTGGTCAAGGGCATGCACCTTGGTTGCGGGCATATCCCCAGGGGGGGGGGGGGGGTGTAACAGAAAACAGTTGATCGATGTTTCTAACTCTCTATCCCTCTCTCTTTCTCTCTGTAAAAAAATCAATAAAATAAAATAAACAAATAAAAAAGACATGATGAACTCACCAGCTCTGAGCTCTGGGAACACCTGAAAAGCAATTCAGAGCCATCACCACCCTGTTCAACCTCATAGTTTTAAACTGTGTAGAACTTACTCTGCATAGGAATTTGCCGAGACCCAGGCCAGGTGGTAGGGTTTGTGAAGACAATATTTTTTGCTTTCTGTTAGCTTTCATTTTCCCAAGTAGCTCAGATCTAACGTGAGAAGTGCCTTATCTGCATTCACTTCACCTGAGAAAATACACCAAAACATTCAGTTATAGTTCTACTCCTGCCTTCTTCCAAAATCCATCTCTCTGTGTCTGTGTTTCCATTTCCTTCTTGGCAAAGTCAAGGCCATTCTACTCCTAGCCTGAGCCTTCCTTCTCAAGGAGCTCACAGTCTAGAGTGGGGGTCTGCTGGCCATTTGCTTCTGTAAATAAAGTTTTATTGGGAACGCAGTTATGCCACCTGATTTTTATTATCTGGCTGCTTTTGCACAGGGCCAAGTTGAGTAGCTGAGTAGTTAGATTATGGCTCACAAAGTCTAAAATATTTACTGCCTAGTCCTTTACAGAAAAATGGTTGCCAACCTCAGTCCAGGATGTTACTAGAAAGATGAGAGAGAATCATTGATCGGCTGCCTCCCACACACCCCACACTGGGGATCAAGCCCACAATCTGGGCATTGAACTGGGTTCACAGGTGCATGCTCAACCACTGAGCCATGCTGGCCAGGCTGGTTCCTTCACTTTTTATCTGAGTGACAGCAGGCACGAGGCTTAGAATAGACCCTCTGTGCCTCCGTTTCACCATACAGTCATTCTCATGTGGTAGTTTTGTTGTAATAAAGTCTGGGTGAGCACTGATCTATAGAATACTGAACCGATACTGCTGTGTGGGATAAACAAAGCCAGCACTTCCCTTCATGCTCTACCCATTACTGATATTAACTGAAGGTCCATTTTATGCTCTGAACACAAAACGAAGGGCATTTAGTTGGAATGGGGATTGACAAACACTTTCTGTAAAGGACCAGACAGTAAATACTTTAGGGTTTGTAAGCCACACGGTGTGTCTCAGTGGTTGAACGTCGACCTACGAACCAGGAGGTCATGGTTTGATTCCCCAGTCAGGGTGTTCAGGAGGCAACCGATGGATGATGTTTCTTTCTTATTGATGTTTCTATCTCTCTATCCCTCTCCCTCTGTCTCTAAAAAGTCAATAAAAACATTTTTAAAAAAGATTTCTTGGTTTTAGTTTCTGAAATGGCACATATCAATAGATCAAACCCTTGGAGAATTCTTTGAGATCCTCAAGTCAATTTTATGCTCAAAAACCAAGCATTAGCACCAGGGTGTGTGTGTGTGTGTGTGTGTCTGTGTGTGTGTCTGTGTGTGCGTGTCTCTCTGTGTGTGTCTGGCATGACTCTCTGTGTGTAGTATGTCTGTGTCTCTGAGTGTGCGTGTGTGCATGTCCACCTGTGCTGGGATTAGCTTGGACACTTCCCTCACTACAGCCCTCAGTGAGGTCATGATTCCCCTGGGGCATGAGCCCCGGGGCCAGAGCGCCAGGTGGGAAGGAGAGTTATGGCTGCGTTACTTTGGGAGGGGGCGGGGGGGGGGGGGAGAGAAACATGAGGCTCACCTGTTCTTCATGGAGTTCAGAAAAACAGTTTTGTGACATTTAATGGGACGGGGAAATGCTGTTGAAGTTATTATTATTACTATTATCATTATGATTATCATTATTACAAAGCAGGCAGGCACATTCTGGGCCCGTGAGCTTTGCATTGGCTGCTCTTCTGTCTGCAGGTTCTCCCTCCAGACCCCACCTCCCTTCCTGCTCTCCTGGTTTTGTTTGTCTGAAGAGCGTTCCTGACTCTCGTTTTTCCGGGTTAGAACGCCAGGTGGAGGGCATTTTCTGCACTTTGACCACCTGTCTCACTGTCGGCATTCTGTCATGTCCCTCTGGCTGGCTGGAAGCGCTTTCTTGTTGGTGTGCTGTTATCCACTTCCTGGTCCGTGGCTGAGGGTCACTGGGGACGGGGTGGGCAGGCTGGCAACGGAAACCCACCTCGAGCTCTTCCTCCCGGATTCAGCTAACCTGGGGGTGGGGGGGTGGGGAGGACAACTGTCACAGCCTCCTCAGCAGCCCCCACCTTGGTTGAGGGGTTGGGGAGGGGTTGCTATCCCTGGCGGTGCACAGGCGCCCGGGCAGCGGTGTGTGGGGGTTTGTGCAGGACGTAGAAGGCAGAACCTTTGGGCCCCCGGTTCTGAGGTGGGCGTAGGCTGTGGCCCGTGGCCCAGGGCACCTGCTCAGCCTCTCCGAGCCCGTTTCCTTCTCATAAAATGGAGGTGACAACAGTCTCCCTGTGTGGGCAACGTGGATGCTCAATGGCCCGCAGGGATCTGCGGCTGTGCAAGGCCCGCATATGAGAGTCAAGGGCAGACCCTACCCTTCCTCCCTGTCTCAGCGGGTGACTCAGCCTGGGGCCCTCTGCACCCTGGGGCGATAGTTTATACTAATCACCTGGTTATCGTAATTCCCAGCACTACCAAGCCGGGCAACTATTTTCCCCGTTGGCACAGGCTAGAGTAGGGGTGTCGAACTCAATCAGAGAAGGGGCCAAAATCTAAAATCCAGCCTAAATCGCGGGCCGAATGGTTTACTGAACAGTCATAAACTGTCATTGTGATGGAAACGCAGCGGAGTGCAGTGATGACAGCGCGGTGCGGGCCACATTGCAAGGCCTGGCGGGACGGATTTGGCCCGCGGGCCTTGTGTTTGACACATGTGGGCTAGAGAATAGGTCTCCAGCTCGACCGTGTGGCTCAGTGGTTAAGCATGGACCCATGAACCAGGAGGTCACAGTTCGATTCTCAGTCAGGGCACATGCCCAGAGTGTAGGCTTGATCCCTTGTTAGGGTGGGGGGGGGAGGGGAGGTACAGGAGGCAGCTGATCAATGATTCTTTCATCATTGATATTTCTATCTATCTATCTCTCTCTCTTTCTTCCTCTCTCTGAAATCACTAAAAACCGTTATTTCATAAAAAAGAAAGAAAACCAGTCTCCTGAGGTTCCACAACTTGGCCAAAGGCATGCCATGGGCATTCGGCATCCCCCGGAGCCCACGTCCTTCCCTTTTCTCTGACGTGGACAGCATCAGGCGTGTGCGGGTCCTGGCGAGGTCCGTCTTCAGAGATGCCCACCCCCTCCCTGTTTCCACAGCTGCTGCTTCTCTGAAAGCAGCGCTGCGGGCAGAGCCTGGCGGGACTAGATGCTGCTGCCCCCTCGTGGCCGCACGGCTCACTGCAGGACCCGGCCGGGAGCCACTCTGCTCTCCCCCCTCCACAAAGACACGGGGCGTTCGTCGTAGGAAATAGAATAACGGGGTCTGCAGCTCCCCGCTCTGCTCGCTGAGGGGTCTTGGTCAAGCCTGAGATCCAGCCTGCCCGGGGCCTCAGTTTCCCCCTCTGTGGAATGGGCGTCCCCGGGGAACCTAGGACACAGACTTTGGAGGGACACGCCCGGCGGCCTCTGGCCCCGATGGCGCGGCGGGAGGCAGGGCTTCGCCCCTTCCCGGCCCGGAGGACACGAGGTCTGGGTCCAGAGCTGCAGGAGCTGCGGGCTGGGAGGCCGGGCGGCCTTCAAAGGCGCCGCGGGCTCGGCCCCTGCCCGCCTCGATCTTTGGTCGGAGATTTATCGACTCCCAGGGAGGAGGCGCCGTGACCAGCCGGCCAGGAGGGAGGGGCGCGGGCAGGAGGCGCACCGGCCGGGCTCCCGGCCCCGCTGCGCCCCGGATGGGGCTGAGGGCCGAGGCCCCGGGAGGTGCCAGTGACCCCGAGGGCCCAGCCTGGGCTCTGGGAGGGTTCGCTCTCGCCCTGCAGACCCCACCCCGGGGTGGAGGCGCTGCAGATCCTGGGCTGGGTCTCCCCGCGCCCCGCGCTCCCACAGGGACTCAGAGGCGCCCCCAGAGCTCCA